ATTTGTAAAGACTGTGTAAACACATTAAATAAAGAATACATTAATATAAACCACAAATTATGTGAGAGGACAACAGATAATTTTACTACTGTCAAAATATGAATATCAATTAAGAGGCAACAATATGTTTGAAGCTTCCAAGATAGCTGAGTAGCTCACCTCGTCAAGAAGTATGCTTGGATTAGTAAAATGCTCTAATTCAAGTATAATGGCAATTTTAGAACAAACTGTTTAGACAACTTTATGCTCAAAACAGCCTAAGGAATGCAGCTGAACTCTTGTTTTTAACATGATAAAAACAAGATCCTCTTTGTGTTTTACTACTCCATTCAGGTACATCAGGGAAAATAAAATCAAGTTATGTTGTCATTACAGATGCACATAACTCTGTGTGTGTACACAAAGGAATGAAGGAACAGTCCAATGTAGCTAAGGCTTCACCTGACTTCCTACACTGCCACCATTTATCTATCAAGTATCTGTGTTTCTGAAGTTTTCCTTTAAGGATGAATTATTCCTAATTACTCACAGTACTGGGATTCATTTTGACTGCCTCTAGTCTGTCCCACTTCAATGATATCTAACAAATATACTGGATTTCATCAAATAACCAGGGAAGTCATACTATGTGCCTTCAACTTGCTGACCCCAAGAAGTAGTGAAGTCTTTCCAAGATTAGGTGGAAAGACAAATCTTGTCTGAAAACCCAAGAAAATGGTACACAACATTCAATCCTCATTTCACACAGTAAATATGCAGGTAATTAAAATTCATACAATTTAAAAACTATTAAGCATTCATGCTCCAATTTTACAGCATTAAAAGAGAGGAAAACAAGGGCTTCAATTTGTTGCTAGAATATCACGACAGAGCCATATGAAAAACTCACAAAAGGCTGTGGAACAGACCCGCACGTGATCTTCCTTTAATCAAAAGGACTAATTCTTAACTACACTATTTATGAGCAAAACATATGAAGGTTACATTTTCAAGGCTACCACACTATTAGTATGAGACAACTTCCTTCTTAAAGAAACTGCTTTATTCAGAAAAATTTTTGGAGAAACCAGCTCCTTTGACTTAAATGCCCAGCACTGAGAGTTTAGTGAACTAAAGTACGAAATGCAGTTTATTTACATTAGATTCATAACATAAGCAACCTAGCAATGCTGCTTAAAAATGGAGAATTGCTTGCTGAAAAGCTACTGGTTACGACCATGGACTTGATCTTATTTTGGCCTGATTACAGCCCACACATGTAATTTGAGCAGTCAATTTGCTTAATATGAAGATAAATTTGCCCAAACATAAATGCAGATACAGATATAACATCAGAGTTATCTTTCTGGTTGTCAGAAAAAACTCAGCCTCTCTGATAAAACGGTTTCATGTGGAAAGAGCCTCTCAACACACCCAGCACATTTTGATGCCAACAAACGCATTAGCTTTATGGCACCTCGAAGGCACAACTACATTCACCTCCCTCAAAGTATTTCATAGATAAACGCTTTCCACTTGTTTTCTTTAATCTGGTGCAAAAAGGAAATACCAACTTTCCAAGGTTAATTTGGGTCAATGAAATGACTGGGTACAAAATTTTAATTAGTTGTCTTTGAGCTATAATAGTGATCCAAAACTCAAAGGAACTCTGCATAGTGCCCATGAACTTGTAAACTAATATGAAATACCAGACAACATACTTTCACTTTTGCACAGAATTAATTGGGAAGATCAGAGTCAAAATCCTGCACAAAAACAGTGCTCAAAAGAGATAACATGCTATCCTTCATTGAGGGACTGAGAACTGTCCTTCTGAACTACATTAAAACTGGAATAAACATTTTCTTCAAAGCAAAAATCATTCAATGTAATCATAAAACATACTTACCTTTTTCTTTTATTAAGGGCATATGAAGCATACATCAAAATATACAGGCTACAACTAGACAAAGTAAGTTCACAAGCTGCAAAAACCAACACTAATGAAAACAAAAAGAGAACAATTAGGTATAAATTTGCCCACCACAAAAAAAATCTCAGTGGTCTGTAACAAAATTCTGCTGTCATAGCCTATGGTCACAGTCTTTAGTGGAATATTTGTGTATCTGATAATATATTAAAAAAAAGAGCCTTTTCTGCATGCCAGTATATAAACAACAATGCTTAAGGCCTGTAGAAAAGCTTTAAGATCTTTTATTTAAGGCGTTGGAGAACACAAGCATTTTTCAAGATTCTTTAGCCTGACAACATTTAGTTTCTGATTCCTTCCAGAAGTAGTACAACAGAAATGAGATTTAACACGTATTGCCCAAGCTTCTTCTCTCTCTCTGCCCAAGGAAAAGTAGGCAAAGTTCTGTCATAAAACCTTTCTTCTTTAAAATACATAACCCAATATGTAGAATTCAGTATGTGCTACTATTGGATTTTTTTTTTTTTTTTGCATTTACTCAGCCACTCCATTTAGAAAATCTGAAGCACAGGTGAACCAAAGCTTCTCTCCCAAGCTGCACAAGGCAAACAGACACTGGTTGCACTTGAGGAAAATCCAAGTGACTGAATGTTCCCTGATCACCATGATGACTGCAGTTTTCTATTCAATGTCAATAATGTAGACAGCATATACGTGGGACACAACTTCCTTAAAAATTAGCACTATATAAACAAGCTGCAGTGATTATTCAAGCCAATATGATAAAACTCCTGAGACAAGGGAAAGGGTGATTCTACTATGGACACCAAGAATTAAATGACTGGTTTTTGGTAAGGCAATGAATGAAAATTGGAGGTGAAATGTCTTCTCCAGGACAAAGAGAGGTGACACACTGTAAGAACTACTGATGGCTGGATGGAAAAAAAAAACTTTTAAATGACTCAGAAACAACAAATTGAATGATGTGCAATTATGTTCAATTAACTGAAAATGCATTAATGAAACTGGATCCTCCACAGCAGTTTCTGCCAAAAGTACCAATTTAACTTATCTTTTCTTTGGGAAACTTCCCAAATTGTGGAAATTTGTCTTTGAACTTGTGCAGTTTCCTGCAGTGTTTATGAGCAAATCTATTACTTCATATAGGAAAAACAGCAACGAGTTTTAGTTTTCCTCCTTCACAAAAATACCATGCCAGTGTTTTCATGATATTCCTTCACCGCATAAGAAAAGCTGATGCTTTTGCTAGAACAATCAAGTTCTTTCACCTCTTCTTTCAGAAGGATCAGAAGATATTGGAGTGGTTTTTACCTAATGTTACTTTTTGCATAAGCATTGTCAACATGGTTTGAAACAAATGACATTTTACGTAATAAGCAGCTGAGATGACACGGATATAATTCTGCCAAATAGGCAGGTCTTTGAGTTCTATTTACCACTTTTTCTCACCACTATGTGGCTAAATCCTTCCAAATTCTTATTAAAATGGTAGTTGTTTTAAAAGTGTAAATGCATAATAAAGGACACATATGTGGAAATTTCAAGTATCGCAACTTCAGTTGAACTTTATCTTTGGTTCCAGTTGAACTTTATCTTTTCTAACACCACACATCACAGTACTATTGAAAATATATAATTTGCATAGAAGATCACCAACCAGATGAAAAACACTACAGATTTCCCTGGGTTCCATCACAGATGCATTCAGAACTCCCTTAGTAACATACACATCCAGTTTTGTAGTTGATTATATGCTTTAAACTGCATAAAATAAAGCATCACATTGAGTAACCTTGCAGGTGGAAAAGCATGAAGACATCAGACCAGTTAACCAAAGCACTATTTAATGATTTCACTAAAATTTTTAAAGAACAAAGGAATAATGCAACTTATTCTTCTCAGCTTTTTCATGTATTGTGGTATCTGAAGTTCTTCAAGAGGCAGATCTCAAAGAGCTGTGAGTACATAAACTGTTGCACTTTTATTTTTTAAAAGTCTTCCACACGTGCATGGATGACAATGAAGATGCAGTCCAAAATTTAAATTATACATCTCTTTAGAGCTTGAAGGAACTTTTGAAGCTGTTGAGATTTGTTTTTTTTAGAGATTCCAATAGTACGCGGGATGGTCTCTAGATTTTAATACTGTTAGACTCACTTAGCAGCTGAGCTCGGTGAACTTAAGAGGACAAAGGAAACTTAAGCTGCAGACTGATGGGCCAGAAAAATACCTGTATAGTCTGGAAAGGTTAGCACATCATATCACAATACGCAGGTACAAAAAAAGGTTTATGCATAGGCACTTGCTCATTTAATTCTAAAATAAAACGAACAAACAAACCAATGAAAACCTAAAAAAAAAATCCCTGAAGAAACATAGGTCTAGAATTCAACAATAATGAAGTTATTTTTTGGGAACTGTCACTAAATCTTTTTAAAAAATAGGAGAAGACTATGCCCAAAGCTTCAAGTTGAGCATAAAATTATACACAAAGACAAATTTTTGTTGCAAATATTTACTCAAAAAGTAATAATTTACAGCAGTACTTTAACAGCTGTTCAAAACATGTAACATTCATTAAAAACAAAACTGTAAGTCAAAAGCACATTCTGAATGTTTCAAATGGAGCAATGAAATCAAAGGAGCAAGCTACTGTTAATCATATGCATTCCTAAATCTAGCTAACTAGAAGACAAAAATAACCCCCAAAACCAAACCAAAACGAGCAGCCATCTTTTTGTACATAAGTTAGACTACAAAAAGTCCTGAAATTGAACTGTACAATTCTACTTTATATGCCCTTGTATCCTATTAAGTTAGCAAGTAGCAGCTGCAAAATGGCAAAATGCATGCCAGGTGGTGTTTCCAGTTTGGAGTTTTCCTTATTTTTCCTTAAAACCATTTTTACATCAAACCATACTTTGGTGTGACTTACAGACCATTCCTACGGGTCTACGGCTAAGAGTAATTAAACCAATGGTAAAAGCCTAACAGCTACAGTACTTTCAGCATTATGTCCTACTTTATACAGCTATGTTCGGTATTTCTGCACAGCCTGCACAGTGAAAACTCCACAAATATATTTTTTTATTGTAATAATTTCACTTTCACTGAAAGTTTATTAAGGTAAGTTTACAGCCTGGCAGGATTACACCTGTACAGAGGTGCACAAATTCATATACTTCTGTTTACGTGCTTTTACAGACAGGAATGTGACACCAAGTTCCAAGGTTTATATTTACCTAAACTATCAGCAGACCAATAACCTTCATTATAAGTGTGCTCCATATCAGCATCAGAAGCGAATTCTTACTCAATCCCCAGTTCAATGATATTCACACTAAAGAATTTAGAAAAATACTTTCTGGGTGAACAAATCACCTTATCCTGGGCTAGTTAACTATAAAAAAATTAGAATTTATACCTCTTTTCAAGTATCAATCTAATAATATATCACATCCAAAAGACAGGAAGATATATTTTAACATGTTACCTTTTTGAAGCTTAATGAATTCAGTCATACATACACATACATGCCACCTCCATATGCAAACTTCCCTTTGGTGTCTCTCTCTCTCTTCTCCTCCCTTTTAAAATTTTTAGTCTTTAGCATCCATGAGCACACTCATCAGGAACGGTCCATGGTGTTCTCACCGTAGTTTAAAATAAACAGTAAAATTAACACAGTTTCAGCTTGCTTCATTCTCATCTGTCTTGTTTGCAGTTGTTTCCATTCTGCTGGGATTGCTTTCTCTAGACGTCTCATCTGTTTGTTCAGCGAGCTGTCCCGCCTTCTTGGATGAAGGTGCGACGTTACCTTTTTGGAGAATTTCAGTAGCTTCGTGCTCTAGTACTTCTGATGGAGTTAAAGGCTCCAGATGAATACTGCCTTGCTCACTTATGTCTGAACTAACAGATTCAGGTTCATCCCTCTTTCTCAGGAACTGCTCAAAACTGACATCTTCACCCAGCGTCAGCTTTAAGTCCCTCACATTCTTGGCTGAAAGCACAGTTTCATCCCAGGTACGCACTTCAGTCTGCTCATTCAGGACAACGTAAGGGGAACTTTGGCACATTTTCATCTCGCTCTCATCATGAATACATTTTTGTTTCTCATCTACTAACTGTTTCCTACTAGCTGAATCACAGTATGCTCTTTTCTCGTGCAAAGAATTCTTTGAGCTGTTGCCAGGGAGTTCCAAACTACGAACGTTTTCTGTATTTGACAGTGATGAGTCTTCCCTCTTTTCAACGGATGCAACTTTTTTAGTTTGATTTCTATTGCGTTCTTTTGTTTCATCTGAAGAGTCATGCTCTTGATTGCTGAAAAAAACCAAAACAAGTTATTTTTAGATATGATTTTTATAATTTTATGTCATAAATTAAATAAAGCAATGCTTGGCTATTCTCTGCAAAGTGACACTCAGAGGGGTATTAAAGATTTCCGCTTTGGGATTTGTCATGAGGCTTCATAGCAAGAAAGGCAGAATTTAACTAACAGCTATATTTCCTCATCTATTTACAAACTCAGCTTTTTATTTAGCAGTCAATTAATACTCTAGTTCTTGCATTTCAGCTCCAGAAAGGAAGGTTGTCTTGGTGTGACACAAGGAATTTCTCAAAATAACACCTGTAGCTCCTCTACCTGCATAGCCTCTTTGACACAGATGCAGATAAAATTGCTTTATACTTTTACACCACCAACTGACTCCGCAATACGCATGAGAATAAAGCTAACAGCTGGAAATCTAAATTAAACAATCCAAAATTTATTTGAGCAATCACGAACTGGATTCACTGAAAAAGTAAATCTGTGAAGCAGCATTTTCAGTCACCTTTCAGAGTAAAACTGTGTGTTTATAAAAAGGAAACACAGAAATAGAGATGTTCAATTTTTCAGTAAAGATTAAATCTGGCAAAAGTTTAATACCATTTTTAATCAACCAAAGTTTTTCAGCATGATAAGCAGATTGAATTACCTAAAATGATGATGGTGACAGACAACAGAAAGTGTAGGGGAGAGGAAAGGAAAAGCTGGAAGAACCAGAATTTGTCTGATTTCTAATAGAAATTCTATAAACAAAGTGAAATTAAAGAGTAAATTCTCCCAAATGACCTTTTTAAAATTTAAATTGAAAGCAATAATTTGAACAGTAACATGCAGAGAAAAGCTGTGAGAAACACAATATCACCACTTAGCTCATTAATCAAAATGCATTTTTATTTTATGTCTTCAAGTGGTTTTAAACATTTTTTGGCTAAAGCCACTCAAATTCTGTAAGCAACACACAGTTCAGAACTCTTAAAAGAAAGAGCCAATTCCCTGCTACTATGTTTTTTCATATATTTTCAAGCTGAAAACCTATGTTCTACTCATCCTTTGAATTTAATTTAAACTAATTTAAAACAATTCCAGTGATTCAATTATATCATAAATGATACTGAGTTCTACAGAAAATAGCTATTCCGGAAAAGGAGCTACAACCATTCAGAAATCTGTTTTCAAGTTTTACTTTTATTTAAATAAACTAATCCAAGAATATTCCATTTCTTACTTCTACTCTGGGTTAGAGGAGTAATTGAGCAGGAGAAGAGACTGTTGGGATACCCTTCAGTGGTGAAATTTCAGTGGTCACTGGGGTAGTCATAAGAATCTTTTCATCTTGTTACACTGACTTTCCATTTATTATAAGGAATGAATTCAAGAGATAGGCCAAACTCTTTACCAAATTACATCCTGTATTTGCTACTTCTGTCAAACAGAAATGTTAGGGCTTGGGGGTTTTTCTCATTTAGTGGAGTAGCTAAATAAAGAGTAGATGACATCCTCGAATACACAATTTATCTGTCCAAGTTCTTCTCTCTCAAACATCTAGAAAGAAAAGGGTAAATAAAGTAATATTGGAAGGAAAACTCAAGACTAAGTTCCAGTACAAAAGCCAACGCTCAGAAGCACCTGTCAGCTGAGGTTGAAATAACTGGTTTGTCAAAACTGTTCCTGATTTCTTCATCTATTCCAGAGAAACACTTCAGTTATAGAGAGCCATATAAACACTAGTTCAATATTTAGAACTGTTTTCACATGAAAATCTAGTCAACTCCTCATGAAACAGTGCACACACATATGACCTTTAGCTGCTACTTTTCAACAAGCAGCTTGAGGGCAAGATGAGTTGCAGAGCTAACAGGCACAATATTGTGCTTTACATGGGAAGTTTTGAACAGATATGAAAAACCAAAAAAAAAAAAAAGGTTTGAAATAAAGGGATGACTAATAACTAATTATCCACAAAGAGCAGTGTTTCCACACTGAAAAACCCAGATGGATTATATACATGCGTATACACACAGAGACAAGATGCACATCAAGAAACTCCTCAAAGGACAAATAGGCCCTTTACATATAAAACAGATTGTAATCAATCTTCTTCACCTTCTAGTAACCAAAATCCCAGCTTCATCCACCCAGCCCTCTTTTCTCACTCATTTTTGCCAAAACACAGAAAGAGAGGAACAAGTGGTAGGGGGAGAAAATAAATATATACACACATGTTGCGCAACAATCACATCCCAAAAACAATTGTCCACAAACAACAATGATCTTTCAAATTGCTAAACACAACAATAAGTTCTGTTAGTTCTCCAAAGAAATAATTTGCCTCTGCAATGAACTGCAGATCAATCAGCAGACTGTAGCAATTGTGATAATCTAAAATATCACACTAAAAGAAAAATCATACAATATTTCAAGAATTCTTTCTGTTGGTATGTCAGCAGCTGACAAAGAAAAGCCTTCTATCGAGTACTAGCAAGTAAAAGTACTCTTACAGTGTGCAAATAGGACTGGTTGCAGTGTAAGAAAACTAGAAATTCAGCCATCAAAAATACAGGAGAATGCAAGAACATTAACAGCTATATTACACAGAAAACAGTGAACATTTGGAATGCAAAATCTGACTTCTGTTTAATGAAACCAAGGAGTCCAGGTTCATGGCCTGACCACCAAGTATGGGAGATATTAATGAACTGGCTGCCATAGAGTCTACCTGAAATCAGGGCTTACAAGACCAAGGGAGCAGCCAAGCCACAGCTCTGAATGTGAGACATGAGTTTACCAAGTACAAACACCCGCACCTCAAGACACAGAAGCTGAAAAATTACAGCAATTTAGTTTTCTTTTTTTCTCATTGTACTGAAAAAGTAAGATTTAGGTGCAAAGTGAGGCAGAGGTAAGCTAGGCTCTTATCACTTGGTGCTTCAAAATTCTACTAGCTCAAGCTTTTTTGCTGCATTATTTAGAGTATTTTGTTCTTTTGTATTGGTTATTTCATATTAGGATTTGAAAGGCAATCCAGGGAAAAATTCTACAGCAAGAAAGAAAAAACCCCAACCCTATTAAACAAGTGACATTTACACATCTGCATACAGAGTAGTTGCAAAGTGTGTGCAAACACTCCCTTCAGACTGTGAAAAAGGATTCTCCAGGTAACAAAACTTGTATTACAGCTGCACTTATATTAACAGTTTGGTGTGACCCACTCCTTGTTGCTCCTACATAACTAGTTGAGGAATGATCTCCACACCAGAAAGGCCTTTTAAACCATGACTGAAGTATTTTAAGATCTGACATGCTAAATTAAGTGCATAAAGCCACCTGACAATATAAGCTCAGTTTTCTTTCATTTGTCTACCATAACCCAAACACCCAGAAGAGAGCTGTAGTTTACTTTAGGACAACAGTAAAACATTGCAGCTGACCTCCAACTGCTATCTGGAGGGGGATGCTTTCTGCAAAATACCTTTAGAGGCACAGTCCATACATTAGATGAGCTATAAATTATTTAAATTTATTGACTTTGAAAACCACATTAATTAAACAGCTTATCACAACATCACCAAAATTGATTTTCTGTGTTTCTGTAAGAAAATGTTATCGCAGAGATAGCAAGAAGTATCTCCTACAAACTTGTTAAGTCATCAGTTCTAACAAAATCTAACCTTTCAAAGGTTTCTTACAGAAAAAAAGAAAAAGCAAACAAACCCCTCAAAACTGCTTATGCCTAAATCTTCTTTGTCGATGTTGCATTAAAGGCAAATTTAATCTGCTGAAGTATGGTGCTGCTTCTATTATATTTAGATAATGTTATTAATCATAAATTAAATTATTCACAACCTCAGCGAGTCTTAATGGTTGTCTACAGGGTGCAAAATACTTGACATAAAAAAACAGCTTTACCACTTAAATTTGATGAAAACTATATACTAATATTAGATTGATCAACCACATGCATTTTCCTAAATCCAAAAAAGCAGTCTAATCCCAAACCTTTAAAAGAATTTAAGCACATAGTACCTGCACACCATGAATACTTTCTAACATTCATGTTCTAGCAGCTAACCAGCATCTTAAACTGTAGCATAAACAATCACATATTGTTAATTACATCTTAATCTGCAACAACAGATGACAAAAATATCTACAAAAAAGGATTGGTTTCAGTAGCACTGTAAAAATACTCTTCTAATCAACAGAGAAATAATCAGGATAAATCAAATGAGAACACATTTTTTGGGTCAGGACTTTAAATACTCTGAAGTATTTAATCAAGAGAAGCCACACCAGTGTAAGATGATGCAACACCAAATATTTAGCATTACTGATTTATAGGCAAGAACTTAAAACAAGTATGTTGGAAATAGCCATTTGTCATAAAACAGTCAGTCCTGTTAGACTCACTAACTTAGACATGAATAGATCAGATATTGCATATCTAAGGACAAAACATCCTGTTCTACTTGTCTCAATAAATTAAAGTTGTGCCACTAAATTAATGTTTGTGAATCGGATCCAATATGTATAGATTATTTTAAATCCATTATAAATGTTGTTTTACATGATCAAATTTGAGAGACTTTTATGTTCATGTTTTATATCTTATAAAGTAGATTCCAACTGGCTCACTTATGCTGGTTTGGAAATGAGCAGAATTTGTAACATTTTGTTGTAACCACATCTTTGCTATTTTGGTTTACTTTGGATGCATGATTCATTTTGCTCAGGTATGGTTTTAGAAAGCAGTCCCTTCTAATTTGTGATTGGCAGAAGTTGCATGAATAGACAGTAAATCATAGAAAATTATCACCTTGTGATGTTCCCAACACTTCTCTGTCACAAGAAATCTTAAATCCCATATATCTCAAACATCAACAAAGGCAATAATTTCTCATATATGTGAAGTCACAGTGGTTCTGGAAAGAACATTATGAAAATAAACCAAAGATTGTGACCACCTCCAGTAAGTACAGCCTGTTGGTCCAATAGT